CGTTTAACATTACTATTTGATTCATAATTCATATAATATTATTAATAATTTATAATAGCTAGGTACCTATGCATTGTAATTTTATTAGGTATAATTTATATCATTATACATTTTTTACATTAAATTTGTAGTTATGTTTATATAATAATATAAATATATGTAAAATATATAACATGCATTTCAATTTGCACCCACTGAGCTGATTTCCTGCGGGCGCCCCTGGGTAAGGTTTACAACCTTCGACTTATGGGATAGAATAAAATGAGAAAATTGGTTAGGCCGGTTAAGAGGATGTCAGTGCAATTTTTTCTCTACGACTCATGCGCAATATAACACACTTTTTGTTCACAATAATTTTAATAATCTTAATAATTTCTAAAATTAGAGTGAAATGAATGGTTAGATTACTATCTAGAGCATATAATACGTTCTTTACTATATTTTAATTATGAAGAGAGTTATGAGTATATTAAAATATTCATAACTCTCTTTAAAATTGAGCTTATGAGATGCTCTCGATAATAATCATACTCATACATTTCACTCTAATCTTAGAATTATTATGATTGTAGTGAACATAAAATTCGCTGTGTTGTGCGTGGTCAGAGAGAGATAAAAGAAATGCACTGATATCCTCTTAAGTGTTATTAAGTTGAAAAAGTTCTTGATTGTTAATTGTTTAAATTATTATAGTCTTGTAAAAGATGCTTTTTAAAGTAGGTATTCGAGTACAGCAGTGTGTTAAAATAGTAGGGAGGGCTGTAGGGGTACCTTATATAATACGAAAAGTAACTTATAAAAGTGACAAAGTAAAAATCACATTAAAAAATGTACATAAAATGAATATTATAGGTAGGTATATTTATGTAATCCTATATAATATGTTTATGAAGTATAGATTTACTATATCTACTATTAAAGTTTTCAATTGATTATAATAACTCCTAGTAAAAAAATATATTATTATAAATTCTCATTCATAAAATATTCATTTGAAGACTTCAAATTTAAAATAAAGCATTTCAATAATTTTATTTAAGTACTTAAAAAACTAGACATTAACTGTGATAAAAATAATAAACTTGAAGTAGGTATGATTAGAAGTAAAAGTAATAAGTACTAAGTACAGTAATATAAAATTAGTAATAACTGTATAGAGCTAAAGCTAGGAATTTTATGGAGAGCTAAATATAAATCGGAAAAATATGAAATAAGAAAAAAAAATCTAAAATTGTATTTTAAGACGACGCCACACCCGCATGTGTTTACTTCGTCGTACAAGTGCGTAGCATAGCAAATTTTACGCTCAGAAAATCTCGTTTATCTCCTTCAATTTAAAATTTAGAGTGAATTGACCTATTATAATAATTAAAGGCAAGATTATTASCGAGGGCATCTCATAGGCTTTTTATTATATTTTAATTTTAAACCGAGTTATGAGTATTTTTAGATATAAAAATAATCTTAAATTTTAAAATACTCATTATTCGCTTTAAAATTAAAATATAATAAAAAGCCTATATAGGTAAACTCCATATAATTATTTTCCTGAAAAGTAAAGTTCTATATAAATATTTTTCTCATTTATATGTGCTCCCAAATTTTATGTATTAAAAATTAATCAAATAGGTATATGCAGTTTTTTATGCCCTAAAATAGATTATATTCCTTTATTACACTAAAAATTAATTAATTCAATTTTTTATGTATTTATTATATGTAGGTATATATATTAAATTTAAAAAAAATTAAACAGCCTGTACAAATTTCATTCTTCATTCATATTTAATATATTTAATATAATAATTATATACCTTGATTCATGAAAATATTTACACCAAGTGCTTGATTTTCGATAAAGTATTAAAATATAAACACATGAAAAGATGTAAATAAAGATTTATAATAGCAATTT